AGAAAGACAAAGACAAAGACAGAGAAAGAGAGAGACAACAAGGGAGAGTGAGTGTGAGCGAGCGAGAGAGAGAGAGAGAGGGAGAGAGAGAGCGTGAAGGGAAGAGAGAGAGAGATAGAGAGAGTGAGAGAGAGAGAAAGAGAGAGAGAGAGTGTGTGTGATCGAGTGAGAGAGAGAGAAAGAGAGAGAGAGAGTGTGTGTGATCGAGCGAGAGAGAGAGAGAGTGTGATCGAGCGAGAGTGTGATCGAGCGAGAGAGCGAAAGAGAAAGAATGAGAGACAACAAGGGAGAGCGAACGCGGCGATGGGAGGGTGCTCTTGATGCGTTTGCCCCCGAGTTTAGCATCAGAACACCTGCCGCCAGGTGAGCGCTGTCGCTCTGCGGCACTTGTTTACATCGCCAGTGTTCAGAAATTTCACCGATTTTACTGCATATAGCTATCAAACGCAGCGTTTTATAACATCTGGTGTATGCACATTTTCCAACTGTCTGAAGATCTCTGAAGTGTACGTAGTAAGGACAAGTACTTTGATTCACTAGACAACGTAGCCAAAGCACGCTATCTCGAGAAAATTGCGTGCATTAGGAATCGACATCCTTAATTTTTACGAGAATGGAGCGAGGACCACAACTTGTGCCCATCACGTACTAATTAGGATTCCGTGAATTGACTACCTAACATTCTAGCCGAGTCCATTTTATACTCTCAAGGACTTTCAGAACCACAAAAGCCGGGATGCCTACGATCGACTGTTCTGCGTTTTCCGAGCACGTGTTATGCACTCCCAGTATCTGATTATACCATCTCTCTATCCGTGCATGAGTCACGATAGCATAAATGGGGCAGGCATCATGTCAGCACACTGTAATTGTAAAGCCGAGCTTGGTGAATTATGTTCACATGTTGCGTCGGTGCTATTTCATGAAGAGTATGCTGCACGTGCAAGAGAAATCATCACCCCCACTCAAACAGCTGCCTACTGGATACCGGCGATATAGCATTATCAGGAGTTAATAAAGACAAAGGAGTNTCCGGTCGCTTTAGACACTACCTACATAATAGCACCATACCTATAAATATCTAGAATTGCGCGTTCACGTTCTTCATAAAGCGACACTTGAATTCTCGATCATCTTAATAATTTTTGCCGTGGCGGCCGCGGCACTGAACATGCACACCCAGCGACCGGTGTGCCCCCTGACAAAAAGTTGTGCATTTGCTCATTTATTTTGCACGTTACAGACCGAGGGCTAATCACGAAGTAGCTCTAGGACTATAGCCCTCCGCTCCGTCGCAGTGCTATAGAACAAACTATGGCAATTTCCAGGTAGTAAGCAAAGACAACTTTTTGCTGTTGGTAACTTCTTCGGTATGCCAAATAAAGCACATTCTCTGCCGCACAAGTGTCTTAAGTTACTAGAAACACTAAAATTAAACCGCAAACTAATGGTTAAATGTTGTACTTGCTATATTACTCGTCAACGAAGATTATTTACCAACTTGTAACCGCCATTTTTCGTTGCGTGGCGCTAGCGCGGTTCTGGCGCTAGTGAGTGGGCACAATGTATTTCCAAGTGGAGGGGTGGGCAGGTTGCACGCGGATTTAACCGCCATCTTTTGTTGCGCAGCGCTAGCGCGGTTTGCAACCGCGTGCAACCTGCCCACCCCTCCACTTGGAAATACATTGTGCCCGCTCACTAGCGCCGGAACTGCGCTAGCGCCGCGCAACGAAAAATGGCAGTTACAAGTTGGTAAATAATCTTTGTCGACAAGTAATGTAGCAAGTACAACACTTAACCGTTAGTTTGCGGTTTAATTTTAGTGTTTCTAGTAACTTAAGACATTTCTGCGGCAGAGAATGTGCTTTATTTGGCGTACCAAAGAAGTTATGAAACGCAAAAAGTTGTCTTTGCTTACTACCTGGAAATTGCCATAGTTTGTTCTATAGCCCCGCGGCGGAGCGGAGGGCTATAGATCTAGAGCTAATCATGAAGGTGCAATTATATTTATACCTAAATGCTATTTAACCAAACAATATTCATTTTAGGACAAATTTATCCATAATATAACTGAAACTATATGTCGTTTATAAGATATTACAATCTTTATGCTTTTAAATTAATAAATAAGAAACACCCTCGGTCTGTAGCCCTTGGCTTAAAAGTCCGTTTGCGCAACTTTTCAGATAGTGTGCGTTAAGTGGCGCCACTGTCGTTGTAATCAAACTGTAGTCGTTAGTTTTAAAACATTTAATAAAAATATTTCTAATGGTGATTGAACCATGGAATTTTTAATGTAACGTAATTTTAACCTAATTCAACTGAAAATAACCCTAGAACCTTTAAGATGTACCTTAGCTGCAGCATCAATGTTCGTAGGTATTGCCATACACAATGCTCGTATGGGCAAAATGCCAACACTTTATTCTGAACGTCACAGTCCTTGGTTTCGTGTCTGCTTTCTTCCTCTTGTTATTCTTCATTGTTCCAGTTGTATCTTCGTAGAGTGTTTCACCTTCGTGCCTTGTATAAGCGGTACCTAGCGTCTTCAGTTTGTTGTACCACGAAGGGATACATAAGTTCTTTACGTCCCTGCGCCAAATGTAGGGTTGGATTGTTTGTCACTGGTAATGGTTGTCGACACCGAGAGATGAACGAAGGGGTAGTGTATGATGTAGACAGTTTTATTCAATATATGAGGTGCGAGCTACATAAACGCAACCCGCAGAGTAGACTGAAAGCAAGACGACCACGAAAACCAGAATTAAAACCTCTCCAGCCTTCTCCAGCCCCAGGTCTCTTTCGTCACGTTCTTTTAAAGGGGAATTCTCTCCCTCTCTGACCTGTGCATGGGCTGCCCTTCACTCACGCCCAATCGGAGGTGCTCTCCCCCAATTAACCAGTGACGTTCGGCTTCAGCATGTTGATGGTGCAACCCTCTTGGTCCTCGTTCTTGCTGGTCGCCTGCTTTCATGGTTTATTACTTTTATTTGAATGCTAATGAGTATAGATCTATGGGTGTCACCTCCCGCAGGGCTCGCGAACAGGAGAACTACGCAGGGTTCGACACTAACCCATGTCCGACCGACCTAGTCGGGTAAATGCTTGGTCCGGTCGCATACAACCAGAGTGCTAGTAGCCCGACTGGTCATGTTAGAATTGCTCATATAGTACTCGCACATAGTTACATGACATCATTTCACACCTTTCTGCCTTATAATTCACATTTGTAATTACAAAATGCACAATTTTCACAATGCACACAGTGCAAGGCAAAACATTGAATTTTTATTACGGTGTTCGTGCTTAAAACAATACCTGTCAGTGTCTAGCCCATTAACCCAGCGTGCAACCCAGGGTGCACTGAAAGGTCACCTCTGGCTATACTGGTTCGCGGCTGCACTGTTTGTCGCAGAGCGTGTACATTGTCTAGCAGAGTGTGAGGCCGGGTACCAGTCTACCCTTCGGTAAAAACTATGTTGGCTAGCTGCCAGCCGCAGTAGACGATCGATAAACCGTGCGCCTGTGTATGCCCGTGGTAGGATACGAATGCTGCACGTGAACTCGGCCCGCGCGCGATTTAAAGCGCGGGAAACTACGCTCGTGCAAGCTGTGATCTGTACGGCGTGTAGCGCAGTAAACTATAGTGCAGGGGCCAGATTTATCATTGCTTCTCAGCACGGCGGGCTGGCGTAAGCGGGGCCTAGGCATGCCGTGCCGCTTAAATGCGATTCATCAAGCCAATTAGCCTACGTCAACGTAGCCCGCGCATACATAGCGATTTAAGTTGCGATTCATCAACGCGCTACGCTGACGTCCACTGTGTATAACTCTACGACAGCCAGAGAGCTGTCGTAGCTGCACTGCGGCGTGTATAAACGGCGTGTTTTTGCATAGTCAGTGCCTATAATGTTGTAACAAAAAGTGTTTGTTCACACCTATACTAGTTTATGACACCTAAACTAGTTTAAGGCTGGTGGTTGGAACCAGACTTTCTGTTAAAACATCCTGCTTAGACAAGCATCCACGTACGTTGGGGCGAGTCAATCGCACACACGTGCGCACACTATACATCAAAAAGTCAGTGGACGAGATAGCAGCGTTTGCAGCAGCGGCAGCAATAGTACAGAGACGAGCAGAGAGGACAGTCGTGGGCAGAACCCCTACTTTTCTCCTGGTATTTCAAGTGCCTCGAACCCACGCACATGAATCAGCAACTGGTCTTGCAGCTTCCTGAGAGACTCGGTTGTTTGTCATGAAAAGGGACAGCTGTGCTTGCATATGTGCACTGAGCAGCAGTTCTCTTCTGCCAAACCTCTCTTTGAGTATCCTGGATGCTATGCCATAATTGGCATTGGTCAGTGCCAGGCACTGAATAGCTGACCTAGCCTCTCCTAGTCACTGGGGACTTACAAGTAAACTTGCTTACTGCAGGCAGCTCTGATGCATATTTGCTTGCTTCAACCTCGTCCCTGAATGCTTGCCATTCCAGAGCATTCCCATGAAATTTAGGAAGCTTTATGCGGGGCAACTTCACATTCATGCAAGAACTGCTAGCACTGTGATGACTAGATGCAGCATCATTCTAACTTCTTACTGTGATCTTGCTCCTCACTCAACTTCAGTAGCGCTCGGCTATCAGCTTGCCGGGATGGGCGCACCGACTTATAAAATGCCTCAACTGCATCTCAGTCAGCATCCAGTTTGTCATCATGAATGTTTAGCTCCCATTCCGATTGGACGGCTTCCTGTGTAGCCATACGTCTATCATAGTTCGAAATAGCATCATTCCTTTCTACTGCATTTCCCTTGTCCTTTCCGAGCGGGCCATCTATAGCTCTGGCAGTTCCAAGACCAGCGGGAAGCTACAACGCACAACACAGATGCTAGTGGAGCGATTGGTCTAAATATAGAGGTCTAAATGGCCTGCATTCAGCACTAAGTTAGATTAAGTTAACATATTTATTGTTATAATTTAAAGTTAATACATAAAATTTTAAGTTATAATTTAGTGCCATATCAGACTTGTTGTTTGGATCCATTTAAGTTTAGCTTCTTTGTTTCTGTCATTCCATATTGGAATTTCCTGTCTTCTTCTTTGGTTAATTGTAAAATTTAAGCTTTCTCTACTGCAATCTGCAGTGTTGATCTGTCTATTTGATAAACTTTGTCTCTCTTTGTTTTCAAAAGTTCCTTGGACTTTAAAGACTAATTATTATGAGGTTATGAGGTTATTATTTTATGTAAATTAACTTTTTTAGTGCTTTCAAGTCTCATGGGACATGGCATAACAGCCACGCGATAATATGCCAAACCAAACACGATGCTGACAAATCTACAGCGAGGAAACTTCAGAGCCAAGACGCCTGAGGTTCATTCGGAGGAACGTGGCCTTCACCAACTCGCTGCACAAGGTCAATTTGCCATGCTCGAACAGAGGTTGAAGGAGCACAACTCCGACGTTAACGCTACAGACAAGCACGGCCTCACGATTCTACACTGGGCGGCTGCGTACGGACAGGCGCAGACGGTGAACTTCATACTTGACAACAATGCTGATGTAAACGTCGTTGGGAACCACGAGATGACGCCAGTGCTTCTGGCGAGCGCTCGCGGCCACGCAGACGTACTCGCGAGGCTGATCACCGACGGTGCAGACGTGTGCTGCACAGACGAAAGCTGCACCACGGCGTTGATGTATGCTGCCCACGGGGGGCACCACCATTGTGTGCAGCTGTTGCTGGAGGCAGGCTCTGATTTCCTGGCAACGAACAGCAATGGGAGAACCGCGTTCGATATAGCGATCGCTTTCGCACACACAACGGTGCAGCAGGTTTTGGAGAATCACATGTGCATGCTGTTCGAATCTGGATAAGTGGATGTGAATCTGTCCGTGTCATAAGGGTTGGTTGTGTTTTATTGTCTATGTATGTTCACGTCCCAAGTGGAATTTATGGATGCGATTTCCATTATGCAGAAACCCAGTTCAAAGTCCTGATTACCATATGTAAAAGCTTCGTGTTGTTCAACTGATAACCGTGATGATCAAGATATAAATAGAAAATCTTTTATAATACTTTATATTATATGTTTACGTATTTTATTATTATCCATTTATTTCAGTGTTTACATACAGGCACATTTCTAATCATTTAGTAAACTGGTAGTGGGCACTTTTTACGTACTTACATCGCAATGGAAAAACCTGTTTATGCATGTTTATCGCATCGCAAACTGGTTTATTTGAAGTCAGCGGACAAAAAAATTGCTGCACATGGAGATCTTTACTTGTAACAAAACATAAATTAAAGAAGGAAATGGTGATACATAACCATATATGAATACGCTCTTGCCATTACAACTGATAAATATTTCTTATCAAATATTATGTAAGCCCATGTCATAAGTGAATAGCGTTGCAGAGCTGAAGAAAAACTTCCCATTGAGAGCTTAAATACACGAAAATACATTGTATGAGTAAAGTGCCCACCTGACTCTACTTCCACAACTTCTTGATGGACATATTCTTTTCACTGTCTTTCTGCATCACCTGAAAACAGCATAATGTAATTTAATGACACGAGACACTGCGTTTTACAGCACAACTATCTCCATAGTAATCTTTTTAATTGGCTGAAGTCAGCTCACATCACAGTACTGAAAACTATTATTATAAATACTACGGTTCTGGAATTTATCAAATCAAGCGGTGCCAGTGTTCCGCACAGTCAATAGCCGCCTGGCCCCCCTTGCTAAAATCGGGTGGTAAATACTTTGGCTAAACTGCTGTATCTAATGATTGCCATTGCCAATTTACTCGTGTTTCCTTTGCAATAAAGTTTCCCTGCTCTAAAGTAAATATACCTTGGATACAGCCATTTCAAAATCTTCCTGCGTCACATGAACCCTGCGCTCTCTCAGTGCGTACATACCAGCTTCTGTACAAACTCCCTGTAAATATTCAATAAACATATCAAATATATACGAGTGATAAATAACCATTGAATGTTTTGAGAAAATGTTTAAACTCATAATAGTATTAAGTGTAGTAGTTTAAACAAAGCTTATTTGTATTGGATTTCGAGGAGTTTAAAGATTATGCTATTAGTCTGCTCACCTTCACTTCTGCACCAGACGCACCAGGCATCAACTCAGCAATCTTTCTCAGGTTGATACCGCGTGTTAGATTCATCTTACGGGAATGGATTTTTAAAATGTCTAAACGTGCCTACAACACAAAATTCATGTGTTTAGTAATATGCATGTAATTCTAAAAACTAAATTAACCTACGCGAGATGCGTCAAATGTATCACGTGGGTGCTTATGAACCAGATTTTACTCGCCACACCGGCAATTGTCTTTCGCATATATATATACGTGGATTCTGCACAATTCGTGTGAACTAGCACTAGAAAAGCTTTTAAGGGAATAACAGCACTGCTAATCACACACAAATTTTGTATGTTTTTACAAATAGCTTTTGCCTTCATACATCACAACTAGCACAACCACACGAGACTATTGATGGCAGTAGAGAGTAGCTCATCACCTCCTCGTTTGGGGCAGGAAACTCAATCTTTCTGTCAATGCGTCCTGGCCGCAACAAGGCAGAGTCAAGAATGTCGATGCGATTTGTTGCCATGATCACCTGCAATCAATAAAGGTGCTCAATACGAATACCTAATGACAGAATGAAGCCTTGTACAGTCGCTGAACTTCACAGTCTCCACAGAACGCGTTTAGTTAAGTCACGTAAATTTCTAGATACAGGCTGGGTGTCTACGTCCATATATATTGGCAACACAAAATTGCACGATCGAAGTATTATTACTAATAGATGACTCTGATTAGATACCGAGCTAGGTTCACATGCATTTGCTACATTAAATTGAAAGTCGCTGACACACAACTGTATTCCTGGTGTTGTGCGTGGTTCCATGTCCAAGCATGTCGACTTATTACTTGCAATAACCTGTGATAAGACTATGGTCCAGTCGACCTCACCTTGATGTTCTGTGTTGGCTCAAATCCATCCAATTGGTTAAGCAGCTCCAACATCGTCCTCTGTACCTCACTATCACCTGTAAGAAAAGCACACAACTGCTCAGAAAAGAAAAGAAACTCAAAACAGAAAAACATCACTGACATGGAACATTTTATAGAGCACTAGCATTTTTCAAATGCAACCCTCAAGTGAAAAAATTAATACATTAATTGAAACATATGAAATGATAACAAGAGCCGCAGAGAGCGTCTGGCCTCATCTGAGGTCTGTTGCTACAGTTATAAACGTAACATTTAAAGTGATTATTGCGAGTTTTCTGGCTCAGAAAAACGAAATATAGCTGAATATAGTCTCATCTGACAGTGGAAATATCACTGATTATACCAACATTCAAAACACCAAGATTTTATGCAGTTATAGCATAGAAAAATTGATTTAACCACATCATACCAGCAATAAATTTTATCGTGCCACGACTCTCAAAAATCACAAATGGCGTCTCAAACAAGCGAACATAATTAAAACAAAAGGGCGTGCAATTCTGTTTGGTAAATATTATTGAGTTTGTATGTCAATAATTCAGAGCACTTTCTGTCATTGTCATTCCCGTGTTACTATCTGACTGGCAATCCACAAGCTTCTCTAATAACAGACTTTACGTGGCATTAGTACTACACTGCTGTTACGCTAGTATGAACGTCTGTGTTTACACTCTGACCTGATTTCTACGGTGCGTGGTATGCATTGCTGCACCGTGATAGATGTCTCGCGCTACCGCGAGAAACTTCGAGAGATGGCAACGGTAAACAGAAACAGAACACAAAATTGTAATCGTGCATGATTTCATTGGATTTGGTGAATACGAAGGTTCTAAGACATTTTATCGTTACTCTAGACAATTGCTGTTACTCAAGCAATAACGGTAGGTATCATGAAAGTGGGGAAAACACTGGAAAATTCTCGCAATAGACGCTTTAAGTCGTGCGTAGTGACACCTTTATTAGGCGCAGATATGCAGATACGCAGTTGCGTACACATCATTTCAGCAACCTTCTGCATTCTGCATACCTCCCAAATCCCATTGGTTGATACAAATCGCGTGCCCCTAACCCTAACCCTATTTTTTTAATAATTAATTGTTGTATAAATTATTTGTTGTTATT